ACCCCACAGGAGGGGCTGAGAGCGGGGACGACCCCGGGGCGCATCAGCCCACCTGAGGGGCGGCTCCGGGAGGCCCGTGTCCTTGGTGCTGGGTCCTGGCCCTGGGAGAGGAGGGCGGAGCCGGCTGACAGGGCGGGGCGGGGCCCCATCCCTGCAGGGCGCCTGTGCCCCCATCCTGGGGACTGAGGGCCTGGCTGGGGTGGGTGCGGTGCCGGTTCCCCCCCCATCATGGGACAAGGGCCACCCCAGGCAGCTGGGGTGGGGACAGCAGCCCTGTCTGGTGAGGAGGGCGTCTGGGAGGGTCCTGGCCTGCGAGGGGACGTGGTCCTGGGACCCAGCCTCTGGTTGCCTTCCAGGGACCCTCCCCAGACCCAGCCTCTGGGCTGAGCCAGGCTCTGTGATCGCCCTGGGCAGGCCTGGGGCCCTGTGGTGTCAGGAGACCCTGGAGGCCCAGGAGTGCCGTCTGTATAGAGAGAGAATCCCAGAGCCCTGGGACAGAGCGATGCCCCTGGAGCCCGGAAACAAGGCCAAGTTCCCCACCCTCTCATGGCTGAGGTGTACGCGGGGCGCTACCGCTGTGTCTGCCTCAGCGCTGCTGGCTGCTCAGAGCCCAGTGCCGCCCTGGAGCTGGGGTGACAGTGAGGAAGCCACACCCGAGCAGGAGCTGGGTAGGTCACGGAGACGCTGAGAGGAGGTGTAGATGGGAATTGGGTGCGGGGCCTGGGCTCCTGGGCCAGACACCCAGAGTGAGGGCGGTGGGACTGCAGGGCAGGAGGGAGAAGGGTGTGGGCGGAGCCAGGGTGCAGCCCCGCCCCTCTTCCCTCCTGACCCAGCAGGCCCTCGGTGGTCCCTGCAGAGGGCCTGATGGGGTCACACAGGGACTCGCCGTGTCTGGCTGCTGTGTCTGGCTGCCCCAGGTCGTGCTCCCACAGCGGGGGAGCAGATGCAGCGCTGGACGGGACCCGCCCAGGACGGGTCTCACTCACACCCCGGGGGCTCGGCGGTCCTGTAGACCAGGACAGATTCTGCTCGGGCTCAGTGGGCCCTGGCAATGGCCCAGGGAAGTCCCCAGACCTGCTGCTGTAGGAGAAGTTCGCCGGGCTGTGGGTCCCTGTGGCCCCGCCCCTGCGGAGCTCCCCTGGCGGCCTCCATGCTGGGGGCACACGTGCAGCCCAGGAGGGGCCGTGCACCTGCTCGCCTGAGTCGCTGGGCCTCTGCCCGCAGGTGTGGGTCCTCTCTCTCCAGCCCGCATGTTCCGTGCACCCCTGTGCTTGGGGAGCCCTGCTCCTGACTTTCCCAGCAGTCGTTTCACGGGCAGAGGTCACCGGGGGTGCAGGGTTTGTGGCGTCAGTGTGGGAAATCCTCTCCCGTATCTGGGGCGGGTGTAGTTTATGCGTGACTACAGAGGAAGCCTGGCGCCGTCTTCTGTCCCGTGTGCTTGGGATCCAGGCTGTCACGAGCCGGGGGTGTGTTGGTGTTTGCGTGTGTGACGTGTGTCCGTGCACCGCCATTGCAGCATCGTCATGGCCCCGACACCTGACTGGCCTGGTCCTCTGTCCCTGTGTGTCTAAGTCAGAGCTCCGCTCCCAGGAGGGCGTGGGTCTGGCTGTCAGGATCGAACCTGGTGCCGAGTTTCTAATGTGGTCTCCCTCTGATGGCTGGTGTGTGTGTGTGTGCGTGTGTGTGCGTGTGTGTGTGTGCGCGTGCACGCACTCTGCCTCTGATAAATAAATCTTTCAGATAGAGAGGAAAGACACAGAGAGAGGTCCTCCATTTGCTGTTTCACCTCCCAAATGGCAACAATGACCAGGTCTGGGCTTGTTTGGAGCCAGGAGCTTCTTCCAGGTCTCCCACGTGGGTGCAGGGCCCAAGCACTTGGGTCATCCTCACTGCTTTCCCAGGTGCAACAGTAGGGAGCTAGAACGGAAGTGGAGCAGTCAGGACATGAACTGACACCCATATGGGATGCCGGGCTACAGGCGGCAGCGTAATCGGCTACGCCACAGCGCCGGCCCCCCCCCCACAGTTTTGTGCATCACGGGCAGCAGCCGGCTGAGGGGCACCGTGAGCGCGACTCACCTGTGTGTGCTGCCTGTGTTTCTAACACAGCTGTGCGCCAGCCAGAGACAAAGGGAGGCGGAGCAGCAGGTGCACTGGCTGAGGTGCAGGGAGGTGGCAGCCCCGACAAGTCCCCTCTGAGCTCCTGACACTCGGGAGCCCCGACGCCACCCCTTCCCCCAGCCGTGGGCCCGGAGCCCAGTGCTGAGTCCTGGTCAGCGCTCACTCGGCAGGGCAGGGGCTGAGCTGTGTCCCAGGCTGAGCAGGCAGCGCCCACGGCTCTGCCCTCACTGGCCTGGGCCATTTTCTCTCTCAGCCTGAGACCCGGGGTCCCAGCTCAACTCTGGTCCTGAGGCAGACCCAGGTCTGAGTCCCCGGGGCACAGGGTGGCCGACAGAGTGACCCAGAGGCCAGTTCTCCCAGAGCCCCACTGAGCAGGGTCTGAGACAGGGAGGGGACTGAGCACTGAGGGGCAGAAATGACCGGGAGGTGGTGATGGAGGGAGGAGGAGGTGCTGAGGAGGTCAGAGGGAGGAGTCTGGGAGAAACCAAACCACATGCCCAGACCTTGGGAACTCCCTCTGAGTCAGTGGCTGTCACAGAAGTCCTGCCCAGGGTCCCCTCCTCGTGATGCCTGCGTGGAAGCAGGGCAGGCAGGGGCCCCTCACTCATCACCTGCGAACCCCGTGAACCCCGCCAGACAGCTCCACCCCAGTCCCCGTGCACCTGCTCACTCCCTGTGAATACTTTATTTCATCACACCCCACCACCGTCGTATCCACCCCCCCCTTTCCGGATCTGAATCTCACCGCTGGTCTGCACCTTCCTCCAACCAAACACCAGTGTCTCTGCCCCTCGTTGCTGGTGATGCAGCCCCCACACGCGTGTCCCCGCCCCCACAGCAAACCCAACCACAGCCACGCCCAGGGCCCATGTGAACACTGGGGGTGCTGGCGGCTCCCTCATGGGTGGCTCCGTGCGGGGTGGGCAGCAGGGTCCCCAGACTGGACTCACGGCTTCTTCCTCCCCTGATGCATGGAAGGATGCACGTGGAGGCCTTGACGGATGCAGGAACGCAGGGTTCGTGAGTGCACCCCAGGATCAGGCCAGCTGGAGCGAGAGAAAGAGGTGAGTACAGGGGCACAACACACACGCCATAGAGAAAACCCTCCATGGGGGCCTCAGCGATCCAGGTCATCCAGGGGAGGGGAGCACGCAACCTAGAGGCCACGGGAGACCAGGAAGTCCCGTGGTCAGACCCTGCCACGGCAGCCACAGGCGACTCAAACTCAGGGAATTCTTTAAGCTGATGATCAGGACGGGCCCGGAATGGTGCTGCCAACATCCAAACGGCCCTTGGGAGAAACAACGTCCCCAGCCCCATCCTCCTCCCCATGCCTCATCTGCCAGCCAGAGGCAAAGTGCTCATTCTGGGTGTGGCTTGATTGAATATTCAAAGTGGGTGGGGTTTGGGTGGGGCTTGAGCACCACTCATTTCCAGGCTCTGTTTTGGAAAAAGGGGAAGTGTCAGGGAGTGGAGGTGCATGATGGGAGTGGGAGGACCCCTCACGGAAATTTCGTGGGATGACCCCATGGTCGTCCCGGGGGTGTCTTCAGGCGGCCCTCTTGGGTGTTTCCAGCTGGCGCAGGTATGCATGTACAACATGGTGGAATTTGTGGTTTCCTCATGGGAAGGCAGGGCCTGGTGGCTCTGGAGCTGTTTGTGCAGGCTTAGCTGAAGTGGCCAGGCGGCAGCCAATGGCTTGGAGCTGACCAGCAGCAGTTGGGTTGGGGCTCTGGGACCCTGCTGCTTCCCCCAGCCGCCCACCCTCCTCCCACCTCAAGCTGACTGTGTCCCAGGCTGCCCACTGCCCACTGCCTGCTCCTGTCTCAGCGCCCCTGAGAGCCCAGAGAGGCCTGCCGGGCGGGGACACTGGGGCTCGGAGCAGCTCATCCCTGGATGCGGCCGGGCTCCTGTGGCCGCTCCCCGCCCCCAGGATGCCCCTCCCCACACTCACCTGTTCTTGTGGATCCAGGCCCCTCTTTCTCCGACACAGCAACCTACAAAACCGTAGGAGGGTTCTCCACCATCTGAATCTTTTTTGTTACAGATGAGTTTGGAAGGCAGAGTTAGAGAGAGGCAGAGAGGGAGGTCTTCCATCTGCTGGTTCACCCCCTAAATGGCTGCAACGGCCGGAGCTGGGCCAATCCAAAGCCAGGAGCCTGGAGCTGCTTCTGGGGCAGGGCCCAAGCACTGCGGTCACCTTCCACTGCTTCCCCGGCCATGGCAGGGGGCGGGATCGGAAGAGCAGCTCTGGACCAGGAAGCTGTGCCCATATGGGATGCCAGCGCACTACGCCACAGCGCCAGCCCCCACCACCCGAGTATTTGTCACAGCTCCCTGCAGGAGTCTTGGGCCCGGGAATTCCAGGAAGGATCCTGTCAGTTTCAGCCATGAAATGTCACACCTGGCACACGGCTACACGTGCAGGCGCCCTGTGCCCGCTGGGGACGTGGTGCCCGGACACGGCAGGAAGGAAGTTGGCCCTTGCGAAACATCTGGCGGGAAATGTGCCTGGGGCTGGGATCCTGCATGCTGTGTGCACAGCAACTGAAGGCGGAGACAAGACACCCCGGGGCAGGAGTCAGCCCACTAGGGAGGCCCCGTGTCCTTGGTGCTGGGTCCTGGCCCTGGGAGAGGAGGGCGGAGCCGGCTGACAGGGCGGGGGCGGGGCCCCATCCCTGCAGGGAGCCTGTGCCCTCCCCATCCTGGGGACTGAGGGCATGGCTGGGGGTGAGGTGCGGTTCCCCTTCCTGTGGGGCTGCGGGTGGAACAGCCCTGCGATGCTGGGAAGACCCGGCCTCCGAGCTTCCACACCCGGTGTGTGCCCGTGCCGTGGGCGCTGTGCCGGGGCTGGTCAGGAGACGCCATGACCCCGCCCTCCTGGTCCTGCTCTGCCTGGGGAGACTGGAAGACGGGGAGGGGAGACCCTGCTCTGGGAGGGACCCCGACCCCACCCACAGCCAGGCCCTGCTCCCTGGAGACCCCAGGCTCAGGAGCCCCGGGGAGGAGAGGACGGGGACAGGGGCAAACCTCTCACGGGGAGCTCTCCTCCAGGGCTGTGTGCAGGCCCCAGGACCCGAGTGCAGGCAGGTGAGCGTGCCCCCCACTGTGCCGGTCCCCCCCCCATGGGACAAGGGCCACCCCAGGCAGCCTGGGTGGGGACAGCAGCCCTGTCTGGTGTGGAGGGCGTCTGGGAGGGTCCTGGCCTGTGAGGGGACGTGGTCCTGGGACCCAGCCTCTGGTTTCCTTCCAGGGACCCTCCCCAGACCCATCCTCTGGGCTGAGCCAGGCTCTGTGATCGCCCTGGGCAGCCCTGGGACCCTGTGGTGTCAGGGGACCCTGGAGGCCCAGGAGTGCCGTCTGTATAAAGAGGGAATCCCAGAGCCCTGGGACAGAGTGATGCCCCTGGAGCGCAGAAACAAGGTCAAGTTCTCCATCCCTCTCATGGCTGAGGTGTACGCGGGGCGCTACAGCTGTGTCTGCCTCAGCACTGCTGGCTGGTCAGAGCCCAGTGATGCCCTGGAGCTGCGGGTGTCAGGTGAGGGTCACGCAGGGTCCCTGCCCCACAGGCTGTGCCCTCAGGGAGGGGTCTGCTCCCAGGGGCCCCCCTCTCATCGCGCAGCCCTGGGGGTACCGTGGGGGGTGAGCCTTGCTTCACATGACTGCTCCTCCTCTCCCAGGAGCCTACAGCAAGCCCAGCCTCTCGGCCCTGCCCAGCCCCGTGGTGACCTCAGGGGACAATGTGACCCTCCAGTGCCGCTCCCAGCTGGGATTCCACAGGTTCATTCTGACAGAGGAGGGGGCGCCCTGGGCTGCCAGGACCCGGAGCTCAGAGCCACACCCTAGTGCGCAGTCCCAGGCCCTGTTCCCTGTGGGCCCTGTGACTCCTGGCCGCAGGTGGGCGTTCCAATGCTATGGCTCCTACAGGGAGAATCCTTCTGTGTGGTCAGAGCCCAGTGACGCCCTGGAGCTGGGGGTGACAGGTGAGGAAGCCACAGCCTGAGCAGGAGCTCGGTAGGTCACGGAGACACTGAGAGGAGGCGTAGATGGGAACTGGGCAAGGGGCATGGGGCTCCTGGGCCAGACACCCAGAGTGAGGGCGGTGGGACTGCAGGGTAGGAGGGATAGGGTGTGGGCGGAACCAGTGTGCAGCCCCGCCCCTCTTCCCTCCTGACCCAGCAGGACCCTCAGTGGTCCCTGCAGAGGGCCTGATGGGTTCTGCCCAGCGCCCTGGCCGGCAGCCCCAGGCCGGGCTCCCACAGCGGGCGAGCATTGCAGAACTGGACAGGACCCACCCAGGACGGGCCTCACACCCCGGGGTGTCTATTAGAGTAGGACAGAGACTGTGGAGCCCAGTGGGGCCTGGTCATGGCCCAGGGTGGGCCCGGGACCTGCTCCTGTAGGGAGAAGCTCGCCAGGCTTGGCTGCCACATGTCTCGGCCCCTGCGGAGTTCCCTGGCGGCTCCAGAACACAGACAGAGTGATGTGTGGGCGACTTACACGAGGACCACGCTGAACTGCGTCGCGAGACGAGAGGCTGGGAAGCACAGAGTGTGGAGCAGGCCGGGGTCTCCTCCTCCTCACTGTCCTGTACCTGTTCTCAGGAGGACCAGAGCCCAGCAGCCCCTCGCACCCCCAGCCAGGCTCCCCCGCTGGTGAGTGAGCCACAGGCCTGACCCAGGGCTCAGGCTACTGCGGAGAGTAGGGGGTCCTGGGTCACTGGGGCTGGCCGGCCTGATGACCCCTCCGTGCACACCCCCAGCCCCAGCGCCCCAGGACCACTCCCTGGAGAACCTCATCCGCATGGGCGTGGCGGGCTTGGTCCTGCTGGGCCTCGGGCTTCTGCTGGCAGAGGCTTGGTACAGCCAGAGAAGGACCCGGGCTGCAGGCCAGCGGTGACCTGGAGAGAGGACAGAGCTGGGTCAGAGAGGCCAAGCCCTGGTGCGGGGGAGGGGGGATCCGGGCATGCATGTTGAGAAGCTGTGGGAAGTGAGCGGAGCTAACCTGGGGTTGGGGGAATCCTCCTCAGGGGCAGGGACCCTGGTGGGCTGCTGGCGGTGCTGCTTCCCCGGGCTCCCACGCACATTCTGGGAAGGGGCTCTGGCCTCCCGCAGCCCTGCCCACCACCCTGCAGGCTCCCGTGTGGTTCTGTGCTGTTCCTCTCCAGGGACCGCACACAGCTCAGTGGCCCTGAGTGTCCACAGGAGCCCGAGCTCTGCAGCCCACGGAGAGGGTAACACCAGGATTTGCTCCCCTTGACCTTCAGCAAGTGGTCAGGACATGGGCCGGACACCTGTCACTCAGGATGGATTTAAAATTCTGCTCACCAAAAGGAGGCCATGACAGGTGGGGCCAGATGTGGGAGGTCAGAATCAATAGATCTGGGCTGGTGCTGTGGCTTAATGGATAAAAGCTCCTGCCTGCGGTTCCGGCATCCCCTGTGGGCACCGGTTCAATTCCTGGCTGCCCCACGTCCAATCCAGCTCTCTGCTGTGGCCTGGGAAAGCAGTAGAAGATGGCCCAAGTGTTTGGGCCCCTGTATCCATCTGGGAGACCCAGAAGAAGCTCCTGGCCCCTGGCTCTTGGCTCCTGGCTCCTGGCTCCTGGCTCCTGGCTCCTGGCTCCTGGCTCCTGGCTCCTGGCTCCTGGCTCCTGGCTGGAGATCAGACAAGCTCCAGCTGTGAGGACCCATTGGGATGAAACCAGCAGATGGATACCTCTCTCTCTCCTTCTCTCTGTAACTCTGATTTTTAAATAAATATTTTTAAAAACGTGTGGCTTATCAAACTCTAAGGTAAAATCCCAGATGACCGTGGGAATCCACCCTCTGAGAGGACCACACAGAAGTGAAAGAAAGTGTGTGCAGGGTTTCTTCAGGCACGGGAAGTTCAAGGTCATCTGGATTTCTCAATGCACAACTAACATAAACCCCACAACACGGCAGTTCTGGCGGACGGCAGCATCCGGTGTTCTGGAAGAGTGCGGATGCCTGCTCGGCTTCCTCTGGTGGCTGGTTACTCTGCTTGTCCGTGTGGTGCAAGTCTGCGTTTCCCACAGAGTTCAGGGAGGGGGTTTGAGAGAGTGCTGTGGATTCTGCACCAGTGTTTCCAGTTATGGGCTGGGACCCCACCCCACCACAGCGTAGCTTAGGGAGTAAAGCCAACACCTGCAGCGCCCGCATCCCATATGACCTCCAGTTTGAATATCAGTTGCCCCACTTCTGATCCAGCTCCCTGCTAATGCCCTGGGAAGGCAGCAGAGGATGGCCCAAATGCTTGGGGCCCTGCACCCACGTGGGAGACCCAAAAGAAGCACTGGCTTCAGCCTGGCCCAGCCGTCTGGGGAGTGAGCCAGAAGGTGGCAAATCTCTGTTGCTGTCTCTCCTCTCTATGTCCCTACCTCTCGAATAAATAAATAAGAGTTTATAAAAAATTTTAAACACGCCTAGAAGGAAATACCTGGGTAAATATGACCTCATCACAGCGTCTTAGCTGTGATTCTGAAAGTACGAGGAACAAACAGGAAAATGGCTGCATTGATCATCCTCAAAACTTCAGAACTCTTGTGCACCGTGGACAGCTATGAAGGGAGCAGAAAGACAACGCACACATTGTATGAAGATCTGGAAGCCACAGTAGGAAAAGCAAGGGTGCAACTCACTCAGCGCAAGGGAAGGGAAGTGCAAATAATGCCAGAGAGAGGCACCCCCCATGCCACTTCACTGGTCACTTCTCAAAGACACAGTAGACAGAGTGTGGTCAGGGTGTGGGGAAATCGCAGCCCTGAGACGCGGCTGGAATGTGCAGGGTTTGGCCACTCCGGCAAGAGGCTCATAGTTCCTCAAAGCACCTGACCCAGCCTCGGCACAGCACAGAGCAACCCACCCCCTGCACGGAGTCAGGCACTCCCGTTGACCCACATCCTGGCAAGGGTCAGGGTCAGGTGCAGCGCTCACCAGTGTGCTGAGTGCAGGCTCTGTGGAGCGTTCTCACCACCGAGGGCCTGGGGGAGGCCCTGACAACCACCCAGGGACTGTGCACACAGGCATCCATCCAAGCACAGCCGGCCAGGGACAGGAGCCGGATGTGCACCGGGGATGCGGGGCTCAGGGAGGTGGGTCCCTGGCTCCGTGGGAACTCTGCTGAGCCCCAGGAAGCCATAGAGTGAGGATGCGTGGGGCTTGGGGGCACAGCCACACACAATGGGCCTCGCATAGCACCCTTCCCAGAAACACCCAGGGCTGGAAGCCCACAGAGCCCTGGGGCTGTGCAGGGCTGTGGAGGCCAGAGGGGGTCGCTGCATTTCTGCAGCTTTGCTGTGAACCCCACTGCATGCACGCTTTGCCAGCTCCTGTTTCTGGGAGGGGGACTTCCTCTCAACCAGACGCAGGGCTAAGGAAAGGACAGATGCCTGTCAGTGCCTTTGCACCCGAGGCTGTGACGAGCCACCGTGCGTTCTCTCATGAGGCCCCCACCCCAGAGCAGGCAGCTGAGAGCTCCACCCCCAAACACGGCTGAGGATGGGGTCTTCCATTCTGTCTTCTGATTCACCTCTGGGGTCAGCGGGTGCTCCTAGGGACTTCTGAGGAGCGGTGCCTACCAGAACGGTGCTGTCCCCACGTCTGAATCTGGAAGGGACACTGCAGGACCCTGAGACCGGAGTGCTGCAGCCACGGCCACCCAAGGAGGGGAGGTCTCGGGCATCCCCCCACCACAGAGACACTGGGGGACGACATCACCTGTTCAGGTCTCAGGAAGCGGCACCCCCATGTCATCCAGGAGCACGGAGCTCAGGTGCTCAGATCAGGGGAGGAGAGGCCGTGGGGGGCTCAGGACACAGGTGCTGGGGACCCCCAGCCCCGCGTGGAGTGTGGTTCCACACGAGCCTAGTCCCCTGCTCCAAGTCCCCCTCAATCAGAGAAACCCAGCACAGGGTGTGGGGCATGGGTCACCAGCTGGCCCGGGGCCAGGGTATCCCATGCTCTCAGTTCCCAGAGGAGCTCGGGGCCTGTGCTCCAAGACACCCTCCCCTCCTCAAGCCCCTAGCAGGGACCCAAGCCCGCCAGCCCCCAGCAGGACCCCACCCCAGGCCCGTGTCCCCTGTTGTGGGCCCTCCTGCACCTGCCACAGCCACAGCTGGGCTGCAGCTCAGCCACACCTCCGTAGGGTCTGCCTTCTTCATCTGCTCTCATCAGCTCTGAGAGGCCTGGAAGATTCTGTCACCCTCCCCACAGGCTCCAGCCCTCCCCACTCCCCTCCCCTCCCCTCCCCCGCCCCAGCCCCCACAACTGCACTCAGCAGCTCAGGAAAGGGAAGTGCGTGTCTTGGCCACCCGGCCTGTGCAGGGAGAACCAGAACCCTAACTGGACAGAAAGTGGACTCCTGGGGCGGGGGCTGGAGTGGGGGAGGGAGGCAGGGCAGGCACAGTACAGGGGGCAGCGGAGGCGGAGGCCTGGTCCTAACTGTCCCTAGTGCCCGCTGCTTCCTGGGCCCCATCCTCAGGGACAGCGGGGGAGGTTGGGGAGGGGCTGCCCCCGTTCCTGTGAGGCCACAGATGAGGAACCCGTGACGTCTCCCCACTCATCTCCAGCCAGACTCTGGGCCTGCGCCCCTCACAGCTGCTCTGCTCCACAGGGACCATGGGTGGCAGGTCCCAGACCTCAGCCCTCACTGCCCTCCTCTGCCTGGGTGAGCCGGGGACACGGGGAGAATGGGATCCCCTACAGGTGCGGGAGGGGACAGCGCCCTGCCCCAGCTGGGACCCCAGGGCTCAGAGGACCAGGGCAGGCCTGGGCGTCTCTGCAGGGGTGGGGAGTGGGGAACAGCTCTCATGGGGACCTCTCTTCCAGGGCTGTGCCGGGTGCCAGGGGATGGGGCACAGGCGGGTGAGTCCTCCCCTGACCTGGCTCAGTCCCGGGGGCTCCAGACAGCTCATGTTAAGGAGCCCAGGGGGGCTGGGCTGATGGTGATGGCTGGGAGGGGCTGGGAGTGGAGCTGGGGAATGGGGTGGGAGAGAGGCTGCACCCGGGGTCTGCAACTTTGATTCCTTTCCAGGGACCCTCCCCAAGCCCTCCATCTGGGCCGACCCAGGCCCCCTGGTCGCCGTAGGGAGACCTGTGACCCTCTGGTGCCAGGGGTCTCTGCAGGCTGAGGTCTATCATATGTATACAGAGAGCGGCCGTCATCCCTGGGAAACGAGGCCCCAGCAGGACTCCAGACACAAGGCCAGCTTCTCCGTGATCACATCCATGAGCTCCCATGACACAGGGCAGTACTGTTGTGTGTATTGGACCTCGCTCGGCCACTCCCAGCCCAGTGACCCCCTGACCCTGGTGGTGACGGGTAAGGTTTTTCCCCTGCCCACAGAAGAAGAAACATGGACTTCACGGAGCAGCAGCCCCCAGACATTGGTTTGCTTCCCCTGCAGGGATGTTCCCGGCGCCCTCCCTGTCGGCCCAGGCAAGCCCCGTGGTGGCGTCAGGAGAGAACGTGTCCCTCTCCTGTGGCTCAGATGAGGCGGGCACTGCCCATCTGCTGAAGGAGGGTGGAGCCGGCCCCCTGCACAGCCTGGAAGCCAGATACTCCCATGGGGCTGGGCTGTGGCAGGTCACCTTCCTCCTGGGCCCCGTGGACAGCACCCAAAGGGGCATCTACAGGTGCTACCATGCTGACACCAACAAGACCCATGTGTGGTCACTTCCCAGTGACCCCCTGCAGCTGGAGGTGTCAGGTGAGGGCCCAGCCCTGTCTCATCAGTCCTCATGGTCAGTGCAGGGCTGTCCCCACAGGAGGACTGGGCTGGGGGAGGGGACCTGGGGGAGGTCACAGGGAGTGAGAAACAGCAGAGGTCTCAGCCCTGGGGCCCGGGTCATCCTGTGTGGCACAGGGTTTGTGTGGGAAGTGGAGTGGATGGAACAGGGGTGCTGGAGTTGGGAAGGGAACTGGGCTGGGTGCACAGGCCTCTCACAAAGCCCACGCTGGGCGAGGGGACTCCCTAGACACAAAGATGTGCAGTCTGGGCTCAGGCTGCTGCGGGGAGGTGGGGTCCTGTGTTACAGGGTCTGGCCAGCCTAGGTGACCCCTCCGTGCACACCACCAGCCCCAGCGCCCCAGGACCACACCCTGGAGAACCTCATCCGCATAGGCATGGCGGGCTTGGTCCTGCTGGGCCTCGGGCTTCTGCTGGCAGAGGCTTGGTACAGCCAGAGAAGGAACCGGGCTGCAGGCCGGTGGTGACCTGGAGAGAGGACAGCGCTGGGTCAGAGAGGCCGAGCCCTGGGGGCGGGGCAGGGGGGAGCGTGAGCACAGTGGGGAACAGTCTTCCAGCATTCGGTTGCGGGAACTGTCTGGGGGCAGCAGGGGCTCTTCCTCTATTCAGCCATGGACTTCTCCTGCCCTGAGGTGCGAGAGCGCCCCCTGCAGACCAAATGTGCGCCTCGCGCTTAGCTCTTTCTTCATGGAGCCTTTTGCTCTGTTTCTGGTGAATTCAGTTCCCAGTGCGCATGTGTGGGAATCCGCGTTTCAGCCAACAACAGGGAGCTTGCGCCAAGTAACAGAAGAAACGAGCGAAATCGGATTTCAGGGTGGGCAGGGTCAATCCATCTGGGGAGTGAACCAGCAGATGGAAGACTTTCTCTCTCTCTCTCTCTCTCTCTCTCTCTCTCTCTCGGTCTGTATCTAGCTCTGTAACTCTTTCAAATAAATAAAATATATGTTTTTTAAAAGTTAACGGTGTACAACATTGGTAATGTACTAAAAGTCAGCAAATAATACACTTTAAAGGGCTGGTTTTATGTTATTTGAATATCAGCACAATAAAGAAGGAAACATGGTTCCTTGGAATTACCATCCAATCCAACAGTTCCTCTCCTGCACATATGACCACAGGGATTGATGCAGGAACCCAAGAAGGTGTTTGCATCCATGGGTTCATAGCAGCCTCATTCACATGAGCCCAAAGATGCCAGCAACCAGAATAAGCAGAACAGATGAGTGCGTCCACAACAGGCGGTGTTTGTAGACACGGCTGATACTCTCCTGTTAGAAAAGAAGGAGGGTCTGGATAATCATGGAGAAATCAGCCAGTGTCACAAAGACACCATGCTCTGCTTCTGCTCTGAGAGGTGCCCGGGGGTGCAGATTCAGAGGGCAGAACGTGGACTTGGGTGTGGGAGGGAGAGTGCAGGTGCCTGCTGAGTGGGTCTAGGGTTTCTGTCTCCATTAATGAAGATGTTTCTGAACAGGTGCTGGTGGGTACACGACACAGTGAATGTGAGAGGTAGCTACAGCATGAATTAAATTTCTGTCAGGTCTGTAATCTGTGCTCTGTGAATTTCAGCTCGACAAAAGAGAAAGACACAGACATCATTTTTACCACCTATTTTTTCCTTTAAATGAACACATAATAATTTGGGAGGTGCAGCATGGTATTGGAGGGTGTGCTGATCACACCAGGGCCTTCCCATCTCGTCATGTCTTGTGTTTGGGCCCCAGCTCCTCTCCTCGAGTTCTTTGTAGAAACACTCAACAGGTTATGTGAGCCATGGGTGCCTCCTGTGCTGTGCAGACAGAGCCGTTCCTCTATCTGACTCCACCTTGGGACCCGGGGACCAAACCTCCCTCATCTCTCCCCCAGACCCTTTTCAGCGATAGTGGTCACCATCCTACTCTGCTACTATAAGACCAACTTTTCCAACTTCTGCGTAGAAGAGAGAACTTACACTGGATTCCTGGGAAGGTGTATTTCACTAAATGAGCGTGGCTGCTGCGGATCTGGGGCACCTGGTTCCCAAGGGAGCATCCCCTTCCTCCCTGGCACTTTCTGCGTGGAAGGAAGTCTACATGCAACGGACACCTGAGAAGTGGAGCGCAACGCACCTGCTCTGGCCGTGCCTCCACTGTAGCTCTAAACCAAGGTCAGCCTTGCCTGCATATCCGAAGGGGGCATCTGGGACCCCTGCTTTCTGGAGGAGCGCGTCTGTGGTTTCTGGAAAAGAAGTGCAGGGTCTCTGAGTTTCCGGAAGAGGGTGTGCAGGGCTTCCAGAAGAGCGCTCTGGATTCCTGGGTCTACGGAAGAGCGGCCTGGGGTCTCCGGACACGAGCCCGAGATTCCCGGGTTCCTGGAAGAGCACATTTGAACACTGTAGGACTCCTTAAGAGGGGGCTGGGGTCTCCGGACCCCCGCCCGAGGTTCCCAGGTGTCCGGAAGAGCCCGTCTGGTATTTCCGGTTCGTCCACCATTAACCTTCTTTCTACCCGGCAGCTCCTCTTTCAGCCCCACCTGGCCCCTCGAACCCTTGGTATCATGCCGCCTCCTGGTTTTAGTTCCCGACGGTGCCAACTCTCTGAGCGCATGGGCGGCTCCTTGGCTCACCTGTCCGCAACAGTGTGGGACAGAGAGGGGATCCTGGGGCCCAGACCCCCACCGCTCCTTTCTCCTAGCCCAGGTCGGGCACAGGGGAGGAGCTACGGGAGAGGAGACCCTTAGACACCTGCGCGCCCGCGTTCCTGTGGTACAGCTCACATCACTGTCATCATCAACCGAGGTGAATGGGGCCCGAAGCAAGGTGTCCCACAGTACAATAAGACTCGGCCATGGGAGAGTGAAACCCGGATGTTTTCAGGAAACCGAGGCACTGCGGACACTGTGGAAGTGAAACAAGCCAGGCACAGGGAAAACCCATGCGGGAAGTCATTCAGGTGTGGGCTGTGAGGGACTTGGGGAGCAGAGTGGTGGTCACCAGGGGAGGGCGTGGGATCCGCAGGTCAGAGAGCAGAGCTACAGAATCACGTGGGAGAAGAAGGTCTAGAGGTGTAGTGTGTGTCATGGCGACTGTAGTTAATAACGCTCATGGCACGGGCAGCTGAAATGGCTTAAAACTGTGTCAGATGCTCCCAGCACACAATGAGTCTGTGAGGTAATGCACACATTATCTAGCTTGGGTTAGCTCTTCCACGTTTGTGTGCGTGTGTGTTGTGTGTTTGTGTGCGTGTGTGTTGTGTGTTTGTGTGTTTGATGACAATTATACAGAAATACAACTTTTGAATATCAAAGCAACAATTTCTTTAAAAGGAGAAAGTTTGTTGACCTCTCCTCTTTCAGGCTCCTGTGACAAGCCCTGCCTGTTGTGGATCAGGGTCTGGGGTTATGTCAGGACAGAACATTTCCCTGCCATGTTCTTCCTCCTCCAGCGTCCTCTTGATAAAGTTCCAGTGCGTCCGGGGGGAAATGGCTCCCTGCCACAGCACTGATGCAAGGGGTCCCAAGGAACCTTGGCTCTGGTCCTGGGAACCCCCGCATCTGTGCGGTCGCCACCTGTGGTGGAATGAGAAGGCCATACCAAGATGGCCACATGCAACTGGGCATCAGTTACTCAGGAATGGCTTCGGAAGCCCCCTTGGAAGCCACCTGGAAATGGAGTCTGCCTGGCAACAGGATGTGATTGGTTAGGGCATAAACTGCCCGTTGACTGGATTGGCTGCCTCAGCTATATAAGCTGCTGTACCAACTGAAATAAACGAGTCTGTGGGCTGCTCGCCTCTGGCCTGCTTTCACCTGACTCCCGGGGTCTGTGTGGTGACTCTGTGCCTCTTGCCCCCACCATGCTCCTCCTCTCAGAACAAATCCACAGCAACAGCCACCATGGCAGCCCCCAGTGGTGCCCTGGAGCTCATGGTCACAGGTAGGTGCCTCTCAGCCCCTCTGTGTCCTCGGCAGAGGCTCGCAGCTGGCTGTGCAGGGCCCTGTCCACAGCAGGGGTGTGCAGAGCAGCGTAGGAATGCAGCAGAGTGCACCTGGTCTGGGGCAAGGATGCAGCAAGAATGGCTTCTTGCCCCCTCACAAACTCAGCTCACGTCTGTTGCTGTGGATTTGATTCTGGGAGGAGGAGCATGGTGGGGGCAAGAGGCGCGGAGTCACCACACAGACGCCGGGAGTCGGGTGAAAGCAGGCCAGAGGCAAGCAGCCTGCAGACTCATTTATTTCAGTGGCTACAGTAGCTTATATAGCCAAGGCAGCCAATCCAGTCAAGGGGCGGTCTATGCCCTAACCAATCACAGCCTGTTGCCAGGCAGTTTCTGAAGCCATCCAATCACAGCCTGTTGCCAGGCAGTTTCCAAAGTCATCCAATCACAGCCTGTTGCCAGACAGTTTCTTTCACCAGCGGCCATCTTGGCATGGCCTTCTCATTCCAGCACATGTCCTCTGCCGTCCCCCAGGAGGTCAGCTGAGCCAGTTGGGCTTGGGTACAGCAGAGCAACCACAAGCTGTGCACACACTGGAACAGGGTCGATTCCCAGTAAGCAAGGTGAGAGCTGATGTTTGTGTGTCACAGCATGTCCACACGGCCCGGGATAGCCTTCTTTCATTTCGTCTCAGACACACAGAAATATGAAAACACGCTCAGACCATGGGCCATCCACAGAGAGGCCGTAGGCTGGCTGTGGTCCTTGGGCCATGATGTGCTGACCTCTGCTGGGCACAGAGCTGCGTGAGAGGAAGTGCTGGCTCAGGCCGTGCACAGGACTGCTGTGCCCATCAACACACTCACACACGCATGCACACACATGCAGGCACAGACACACATGCACATACATGCATTTACACATGCACACATACACACATGCAGACACATAAACACATGTACACAAGCATGCACACATGTGCAGACACACACATCCATGCACAGAGACACGGACACAGAAATACCTGCGTGCACACACATGCACACACAAGCACAGATTGCGCACACAGAACACAGAGACGCATACACACATGCACACCCAGACCCACTCATACACACATGCAAACAGACATGCATGCAAACAAATGCAGACATACATGCACACATACACATGTGTATACACACAAATGCAGATACATACACAAATATACAGAGAAATACACACATGCACACAGATGCAGACACATACACACACCTGCACACTGGGAAACACATATACATAAATGCACACAGACATACAAATGTGCACACACATGTGCACACACATCAACAAGACACATTAGAAACAATTCCATAAGTATCTGGTCTCAAGGGCACAGAAATAAAGCAGCCAGTGGTGGAGACGAAAGCTTAGTTGAGAGCCTTCTGGCTCGAGTGGGAGTGGAAGCGCGGGTACTCAGCAGACTCTGCCCAGGAGGTGGGCCCTGATGGGGTTTACCACCTCCCAGAAAACAGAGACCCCTGCCCCAAGTCCCTGAGGAGGGGGCTTTGAACCAAGGTCTCCACAGAACTAAAGAGAGTGGGTGCTGTAGAGAGAAAGCAGTCAGGACCCTCGGCCCTCAGAGAAAAGCTCCGGTCACCACCCCAGCCGGCCACATGCAGGGAGCCTGCACCTGCAG